AAACAGCAGCACAGCAGCTGATGGGAAAACTGGCAAGGCACTCAGTGACATTTAAAGACATTTGCTCAAAGACCATCAACCACAAAGGACAGCTTTACTGTCAGTTTCTCAATTACTGGGTGTTTAATTCATAGAAACCAATGACGACAAGCCGAGACAGGCCACCATACAAGGGGTGATATAACCATGAAGCCTTGTTTGTTTCATTCTCACAGTGACTATTTATTATGTTCTTTCTGGTGGCATTTGGCATTTCTTAGCTAGGGACAGGCAGGGCTGGCAACTCAGAACTTCTAAGAATTACTATCTGTTCACCACAATCTCCACATTCAAAGAATTAGTAGCGTGTTTTATTTTTTAAATGTGCATTTTCTTTTTATGAGTTTGCCATAACCTGGAAAACCCCACAGCTTTCAAACCACAGACAACAGCTCTGACCAGGATCACAAGCGAACTGACAGATACCTGCAGAGTTGACAACTATGAATTTAATTTGCCACGAAGTTAAAAAAGTCAATGTATCACACCCATCTGTTCATCTGTCTATCCATTCCACCCCTCCACCCCACCCCCCCTGCACCCCACTCCATCCCATCCCTCAAGCTGGCTACTTATCTACTGACCAAATTCACAGCAATGTTTTTTAGTGTTAAAATATAACTCAATGTGAAGTAAGGTCAGATCACCCATGGACAAAGAATGAAAGGAGGAAGATGAAAATCCAGCTCTTCTCCATTTTGTAGAACGCTACTGTGGGTCAGTGTGGGCCAATTACTAAACCCAGATAATACTGACAGATGGCCTTTAAACTCTCTGGCTCTCTGTCAACCATCTGTCCTAAGACTCTTTTGAGTTTGTATTTTCTAGGTATTTGATTTTAGAATAGAAGACGTTCATCCCTTAATACATCACAGGGAACTGGTCAACCTTTGCAATATGGGAGAGACTAGAAATCAAAGCTATTGGTGTATGGTTTGCTTCTTGACCTCTCTAAAATATCATTGTTGCTACATCGTAATAACATATAAACATTCCAGAAAAGAAAATGGCCTAGTAGATATAACAACAACAAGGGCAGAAACATGGCAGAGTGAAAAAAAAAATCAAAGGTTACAGAGTTGGGCAGCCCAGGGTTCAGAAGTGGTTCAGCCATTTAAAGCTGTGTGCCCATGACCTCCTTGTGGACCCTCCTGGGGGAGGGCTCTCATTCGTTGTCTGGAAACTGGGTAATGGTCCTCAGGGTGCAGGTTTGATGAGGTAATGCAAGGGAAGGACCTGGCCCTGGGTCTGTCACATGACAGACTGATGTTAATGCCCTTCGCTTCTTTTTTCCTCCCTTGGTTATGGAAGATGTTGAGCCTCGCTGATGCACAAATGCTTACTCCTCAGGGACTTTATATGAACAACCAGGATGTGCCCTTGAAGGAAGGTTAATCCTGACTTCTAGCCTTCCACTGAGAAATCTCTCTTTCCTCTCTGGTCTTCTCATTACACCCATTCATAGAACCTTACACTTCTTCATGGCTTTTACCCCAGCTCTGGTTAAATAACTCGCAGTGCATGCAGTGCCTCTCTTCCCCACTAGGGTTTCAGATAATCCTCTGGAGAAAGGCCTTGCATATAGTAACCACTCAGTAAGGTATTTGTAAACTAGATGAAAAACACCTGTTACAGGGTTTCCAACTGTGACATGTACCACTGGTAAGGAAATGATTCTAGGGGTTGAACATGGACTAAATTTCCTAATAATTTTAATATTTAATGGTTATACTACATATATATTTTTAGTGCATATAAGACAAATAAATAACTAGCTCATCAAATCTGTGATTTTGTGTATTTTTGCTTGATGAGGCCAAATGAAAAAGTAAATGATTTAGGGCAACAAAAAACTAAGTATAGTTGTCATAAGAATATGGCAAAAACCATGAAGGTGTTAAAAGATGACACAGTCAGGAAAGTCTGTTTTCAGAATCTATGGGTCAACACTGTATCAAGAGTCAAGCTGGAACCAGGTCAGGCTAAGTGATGGACCCCAGAACACATCTGGCGTAAGTATCTGGGCGTCAGCTATCTGGGCGTCATCATAGGAAATGCCAAATGTGAACTGAGCAGGAACAAGGGTCAGGTCCCATGGCCACATTCAGGGTCACAGCCAAGTAGGCAGGAACTATCTAGGAGATGAGGCATCTGCCCCAGGAAGGGTGTGTGGTAGGCCCTGATTCGTTCTCCTTCGGCTTTAAAGGCACACAGGCCTGGGCTCTGGTATTACTTCCTGCCATTGCCAATTGTTTTGTTGTCTCTGTGCAAGGCTCCTAGAGAGAAGGCACTTTCTGTTGTGCCCACCTGTGGAGTCAATGGGTCTGCATCCAGAATCTCGATTCCCAGCAAACTGAAGCAGACTGTTGCTGCCGTCACCACAGCACCTTCCCCTGAGCCTGCAACATGGAGTCCTCCTCCCCAGGCCCCATGCTGGGGTGAAGAGACAACCCTGTCATTTTGGATTGGAACACACAATGAATTTTCCCTTGGAAAAAAATGCAATAAATAGAAAAATAGGCTTTGATGAATTAGTACAGACAATGTTTCAGATATGTTCCAGGTTAAATAGGATTCTGCCCGCGATACTAGGAACCAGACTGCCAATCACACTACCACTTCACTGGGAAAATGTGTTAATACTATAAAATAAAAATTTGGGTTGTAACTTTTCCATTAGGGGTGACTACTTATACTTGCAAGTACAGCAAATTTATCACTAGTGAATGTTTAACACTATAAGAGTATATCTTAAATTCTATCTTTCTTTTCACATCCTTCAGAAAAATACTGTTTTCTGTCATCAATTACGGGTGGTGTTCAAGTCTTGTCTGACTGAAAAATAACCAATCACACACTTGCCATAGCAAAAGAAGGCCTCAATCTCTCCATCTGATGACAACTGTCAACATATAAATGTAGTTCCAATGAAGACTTCTCTAATCCACTCCCAGCTACCCCAAGTTATCCCTGGGACTGATGGAACGACAGTCCTAGGTCCCACACTGCAACACTGACAGGAAATTATTCCTTTTTCTGACCACAAGCCTTTAACCCAATGTTTTCCATGCTTGTCTGATGGGAAGAATTACATGAGGCACTTCTAAAAACAACAAAACCTGGCTGCACCTCAGCCCGGTAATGAATCAGAATTTCAAGGGGAAGTCGAGAGTTGATCATTTAAAGAATGCCCATCTCCGGTGACTCTGTCATCCAACACAGTGGTTCTTACCACGGAGCATGAATGAGGGTCACAGGAAGCACTTGCTAAAGCACAGGCTGCTGGGCCCTTGCCCAGGAGCTTCTAATCTAGTCGGTCTGGGGTGGGGTCTGAGAATTTGCATTTCCAAGGTCTCCAGTGAGGCTATGGCTGCCGGTCCAAGGACCCTGTTTCCAAAACCAATTAGAGGCACATCTCGGAGATATTGCGGGTTCAGTTCCAGACCACTGCAATAAACTGAGTATTGCAGTAAAACAAGTCAGAAGTTTTTTGCTGGTGGGATGATCTTGCCTTCAATTTGTAAAAAAGAAAGAAAGCAGCATCTGCAAAGCGCAATGAAAGAGGTACGCCTGTACTTCGCCTGTTTGGCAAACACTGCAGCTGAGCTCAATACTACCTATTTTCTTCCCTCCTTGGTAGAAAAACATTGGATTACAGCGCCCAAAGTTGCATTGGAATCACAGGACTGCTACTTTCTTTTTAGCTGCTTGACATTAGACAAATAAATTTACCACAACGCCTCACTTATCTTTTACTGTGAGGAGCTGAAGGTACCTAAAGGAAGAGCTTTGGTCCTGACTCAGGTAAAGCAGCAGGCCTGCATTACACATCCGTGTGCTCTGATCTCCTGGACACGATCCCCTCTTGTGAGCTACAGAAAACTCTGCTGAGTTCTAGAAATAGGTCTCAAGATTTATCACACACACAAAACTCCATTTGGTACAAACAAACAAAAAACCAAACAGGCGATGGCTGACCACTTCTTCTTGTGAGTGGTCATGCAGCTTTGTTTGGGACTTAACATGTCCAATGGGAATACGCTCAGCTTCCCAACTCACACTTTCCCATGGAAGTAAAAATAGAAAACGGGTTAGATTATAATTAGGTTCCCTGCTTAATTTTGACAAGGCTGAATTTAGTACCCAGGTATGGATTATTTTCCTGGCAGATCTTGCATTATATTGTTTGGCTATTTCTTATGATCTGAAGATCAAACAAATGAATCAGAGACTCTCATAGAGTCAGAAGAACCCTGAAGGTCACCTACCCGGCCCTCCACTCTATGAATGCCACTGAAAACACCTCAGTGTGTGGTGGTCCAGTTTCTTCTTGGAACTCAGTGAGAGTGTATTTTCATGAACCCCAACCTCTTCTTCAGATAACTGTCTAATCATTAGCTTTTTCCCCTTCTGGGCAAAAGTCTTTATTCCTCTAATTTTAATATCTTTGGCCCTAGTTCTGTTCACTCTACTGCCCAAATATGCCTAATCTCTCTTCCACATGACAGCATTTGAAGTATTCTGAAATAGCACTGACTTCTTCCTTGCCTGTTCCTTTTCAGTCTAAATGTTCTGTGTTTTTCCACTTTTCTCACCATCAAAATTTTCATATACTTAACAGCTCTGGTCGTCCTTCTGTGGATAAAGTTCACCTTGAGGCTATTTCCTCCCTAAAAAATACCACACTGTGCTTCACGTTCACTGTGTCCTATTATCACAACCAAAACAAAATGAATTGTGAAGACTGGTGGCGTTTTCATTTCCACACAGAGTTCCCTAGAGCTGGAAATCACAGTCAGACAGACGGACACTGCTCAGGGCAGCCCTCCACATGGTCACCGCAGGTAGATCTGGGTAACATGACCCTCCTTCAAACAAACATATAAGGCCACTTAACATGACCAAAGACCCAGGAAGTTTCTTTCCAAGGAAGACAGAGTGAAAGAAAAGGTATTTCTTACTTTCTACGAAACATTTCTGCAAATATGCAGCCAACGCTCCAGAGATCCACAGGGGTGGCGTAGCTGGACTGGAGCAGGACTTCCGGGGCTCGGTACCACAGCGTGACGACCTGCAACAGCAAACGGGTCTGAGTGTTACCGAGGGAGACAGCTGTCTGCTCACCGCCTCGTCCCGCGCACCAGGATGCCAAGGTTCGGTTCAGAAAGATCGTGGGGGGGGGGGTGAAGGGGGGGCACAGAGATAGGAGCCACGGTTACCTGGGACAGAAAATGACATCCCACCACCTGGGTTCCTACCTCAGACTCTGTGTTTCATGAGGAGGGTAAAATACCTGAGTTACAGGCAGCAAAGACTTTTTAAAAAGTCTTAAAACAATTAGTTTTTTTCCTAAGGGACTTATGAAAAGAATACATGGACAACAGGTGTCAGCAGCGGCTGCAACTCACTTCCCGTGTGAGCGCTGCTGGGAAATCAAAAGATGATTTCGGTGACTCTGAAGTCCCAAGGAAGCTCCCAGGATAAGTCAAAACTACTCTTATCATGAGACTGTGGGGAATTAAAATAAAGCCTCCTTCAATGCTGATCTTTTCAGAAAACAAATTTAAAAAAAACAAGGAATTAAGAGACATGCGTAACCCAACTGTTTATACTGTGGGCAAAAAAGTCATTCAGAGGAAGAAATTCTAAAATGGGAAGGACCCCACTTAATACTAATACAAAAAAGTATATAATAATAGATGGAACACAACTGTAATTATTTCTGTCAGGTGGAGAGGTGAGGAAAGCATATCATTAAGGCTTCAGATTTATAAGGGTATGTAAGGATTCAAGTGCTTTTTATGCAGGAGGGAGGGTGGAGCAGACATTTTACGGGTGCCTGAAATGAAGATGTATTCTTTATTGTCAGATAAGGGATTTAACACATAAATCTACTATAAATCTATATGAAAATATAACAAGCTTTTCATATTACTTAGATTCCTTTTATCCTTATGTATTGTTTTGTCTAATTGTATTTTTGTTTATGTCTAAATTTCCTGATACTCTTCTTTATTATGTGTTTTGATGGTAGAGGGCTCAGCACATGAAGACTGCAGTAGTAGGTCTCCAAAACTGGCTGCCATGAGTTTCAGGAAACTGATGCACACCCCGCCCCCATCAGGGGGTGGGGTCTAATTCACCTTCCAGTGAGTCTGAGTTGGCCTTAGAAGGAGGAAGCGATGTCTGAGACTACCAAAGCTAGGCCACACGAATTTCAGTAGCCTGAACCTTTTTGAATGCTTCCTCTTGGAACCCAGCTGCCCTGCAGTGAGAGGCCCACAGAGATGTTCCAGTTGACAGCTTCAACCGAGCTCTCAACTAAAAGCCATGTGCGTGGACCAGCATGACATAGAAGCCCAAATGACCCTCCAGGTGACCGTGGCCCCTGCCAACATCACTTGGAGCAGAAGAACTACCCAGCTGAGTCCAGTTCAACCCACAGAATTGTGAGTGATAATAAACCGGTTGTTGTTTTAAGTTTTAGGGTGATAATATAGCAGTATCTAACAAGATTCTTGGCTGGGTCCTCCTCTTCATCTCATTTGGCATGTTCTGCTTCGAATTCATGCAAGAGGTCAAGTTTTGTTTAAAGGATAGCTGGTTGATGTCTAACGGAGAGATGATGGTGATGCAATTAAAATTAAAAGAGAAAACAAACCCACAATACCAAAACAATGTTTCTCAAGTTATCATTTGGCTCCAACATATCTTTCCAGCACCATCTCTCATAGTACTTCATACTCCTCACAGCGAAATCACGTATGAGACCCCGCCACTGGCTCCCAACCCTGACTGCACTTTAGAATAACCCTCGGGGCCTTTAGGTGAGTTGTCTGGGCCTCGTCTCGCCATCACTGAATTAGGTGGGTTCTCCTCATCTCGCTGTCACTGATTAGGTGGGAACTCCCCTGGAGTTCTCCTTTTTCTTTTCTTAAAAAAAATTTCTCAGGTAACTCTTGGCTACATTTGAGCACCATTCAATTATACACACATATCCTCCAGCTCATGCCTCCATCCTTCTGTTGACACTGTTCTAGGCTGGAGAGCTCTTCTTTCTCCTCGCCAGAAGTGGAAATTCTACTCAGCCTCCAACGCCCATTATCTCTCTGAACCCACTGTCACCTGAGATTTCTACCTTGTAACATAGTTCATAAAGAGTATGGTTTGTTCTAGAGGGTGTGGATCCAGTTTTGTCCACCATTATGTCTGCAAAGGCCCACTGTGATACTGTGCACAGTACAATTGGGGTTTGACAAATATCAAATCAATGATGTCAAGGCAATCTTTCCTAGGAGATAACTGGGCAAAGTTCAATTACCAGTCATTCCCCAAAAAGAAGGTACTTTCTACTTGTGTTGAGCAGAGTGTCCAGTTGTGAGTGCAGGTCTGCTTTACTAATATTTTTAGCTGGAGGAGCACATTTCCCTGCTTCTCTGACATACTGTAAACAAAAGTGCAGGTGCACTCCGTCCATAAAGTTCCACTCGAGTGGTGTGTAGACATACATGGACACTATGAGGTCACACACTTATCTTCTCATCTCAATTTGAAACAAAGTCTAGCATCATCAGAGATGAAGAGTTTAATTGAATATAGCATCATTTCAGGCTGTCTCAAAGAGGCTGTGATTTCTGATTGATTACTTTTGTAGATCTATCTTCATTTTCAGTACTTTAATCAGTGATACATATTACAATCATCAAATAAACGTTTAGAAAGCTGAAGATGGGAAAATATTGCTATGTTTAAGAAGTTCTCTTCTACTCCTTTCAAATTTATTTACCACTCAAAGTGGAGAGTGAATGCAATGTTTTAAAAAATGCTTATTGAAATGATAATATGATCACTTTTTTATTCTATTAATAATATATTAATTATATTAATAGATTTCCTAATATTGTACCATCCTTGACTTCTTAGAATAAATCATTCCTAATTATGGCTCACTATTTTTTAAATAGACTATTGGATTTTATTTGCTAATATTTTTTAGGATATTAACATATTCATAAGTGAGACTGATCCATAGTTCTTTTTTGTTACTTTTTCATGTTTTGATATTAGGGATAGTCAAGGGATCTTTTCATCCTTTTCTATGTTCTGAAATACTATAAACAACATAAGATTATCAGTCCCTAGGGACTTACTTGTAAAACCATCTGGGTCTGGATCCTTCTTAGAAGTGTCTTTAATGATCTTGTGAATGTCTTCCTACCCATTAGTTGCAACAGATTGCAACCTCTTTATGAGGCCATTTTACTAATGATAAATTTCCCTATGAAAATATTTAATTTACATTTAAAAATGTATTGTCTCAATTCTGTACATGGTTATTTCTTATAATTATTTTAATATCATGCTTCTTTGGTTTTCTAAGAAAATCTGATTTTCTCTTCCTTAATGTATATTTTCATTTTTGCTTTATATCAGTCAGATTTGTCAGTTTAGCTATATAATTTATTTTGAAAATGGAAATGAAGTTTTGGGAAGATTATTGTTTTATTTTATAATTTGTTGACTTCTCCTTTTCTCATTTTTGTGAATCTTTAAGTAAGTGTTCCTAATTTTTGTTTATTTTTGAACATACAATTTAAAGACTTAAAATCTTTAAATAATATATAATTTTCTCTTAAAACAAGAGTAAACTAATTTGAAGAATAAATTACTTAGAAAAGTGTTTTACAATCCATGTGGTCATAAAAGTTCCACAAAATTCACTATTATTAAAGGTTATCTTCTAGCTGCTGGATTTCTAATTTTATTGCATTATGGTCAGAGAATGTAATCTGAACAAATTTCCACTCGGTAGAATTTATTATTGTTTTCTTTATGACTATGCATGTACTTGGTTTTTGTTCCTCAGGGTAAAAAGGGAGTGTTCTCTTTTAAGTCCTTTATTAACAAGATTTCTGTCTCACACAGATCCTTATATTTTTCTATACTTTATTTGTCAAACTCTAAAAGAGAATCTGAGTTTATGTTTTCCTTCCCCCAGAATCTCCTTGTGTTTCTAAGAGTTCCTGCCTTATATACATTGGCCTATGTGTTTGGCAAATAAAATTTATGACAAGAAAATATTATTATAAAAAGAATTTAGATGATGGTAGACATAAAATATAAAATAAATACACAAATCCTAGTAAGTCAGCTACAAAAGATAATGGGGAAAAGACCCCATCCATAATAGTAACAAAAAATGCAAAACATTGAGGAATTTTAAAAAGTGCCATCTACATAAATAAAATAATATATTACTGTTAAAGAATATTAAAAAAAATTTTAAATGGGAAGACAGACCATGACTAAGGTGGGCAAAAGCTGTATTACAAAGATAATAGTCACTCCTATATTAACACAAAACATTTAAGGCAATCCAATGCTTTTGTTGAGGAATGTAATTTTTAAAATAAGGTACCTCTGGATGAACAATGCTTAATAGTTTGAGAAATAAGGATGAAGGGCATTTGCTCTGTTACCAAAACATACTGTAAGGTACAGTAAATAAAAGGGTGGTGTTAACATTTTTAAAAAAGAGTAAATTCCAGAAGAGATGAATACATTAATAGCGTTTAAAGTTCTTATAGGTGGCTGCACTTCCTCTTAGTGAGAGAGGAAATGTACTTCGAGAGGTGAAAGTAAGACCACTGGTCATTCATTTGGAAAAAAATAAGTTTTATCCCTACATTACACCACCTATAAAAATCTGTGAGAAGAAACAATATACAGATGGAAAGTCCTAAGAAACAGAGCTAGAAAAGTGTGTTGGGAGGAAACGCATTCCTCCTTGTAAGAAGAGGAAGAGGACCTTGGGATGTGGGTGCCTACTGGGATGTGCATGATGGGAAATCTAGAAGCCTGGGGTGAAACGATTTATAGATCCAGCTATTTGAAACTGAAATTCTCTTCAGCAAACACTATAACTAAAGGCCAAATACAAATGACCGACTGGGAGAGAACGTCTAAAACAAATTACACTAACAAAGTAATACAACAGAAAAATAGATAAAAAATAAGAAAGATAATTTACAAGAAGCAAAAACTATCAAATATATTCAATCTCATTAAAAG